GTGTGTGTGTGTGTGTGTGTGTGTGTGTGTGGTGGGGGCCCAGCTGCAGGTCATTCTGGTTGCTCAATTTTTTTTTCCAGAAAATTCAAGGATTTCTGCACAGTGCAATCCACTGATAAAACAGTATTAGGGATAAAAGTATCTGATAAACAAACTAAACAAAGAAAAAAAGCAGGAAGCGGGTGTTGAGAGTTGGAGGGAGGAGGCAGATCTTAAGGCTGGTTTATACTTTGAGTCACACGTCTTTTTCCCCCCGCTGAGTGACAAAAAGTTGCGCAACCTCCGTCCGCTCTCCCACTGCTATCCCCCCGTGACAGCTGTCCTAAACATTGCCACCAGTCAGAACACCGAGATGCGGATATTGCGGCTCGGAGCGTGATTGGTCTGAACTTCGTGGGTGTGTTTATTCATGGAGCACTGGGCCAGTGGTCCTCAGCTGTGGCGGTGCCGAGAGTTGGACTGAGCTGGACCAGAATAGGACCCAAATCAGCTCTTCCTTCTGCACGTTATTTTGTTAAAAATTATATATATATTTTTGTCTGAAGCCAGTTTTAAAAAGAGCTCAGCTGGTTTGATCCAGGTCCCAAGGAGTGTGAGCACACAGCTGGTCAAGTCTTTTTTTCTGTCCACCTTAAAAAAAATGACTCTACTTCACCCAACTTAATACTGATGTTGAGTTAAAAAAACACTATCCAGCCATTGTTATTGTAGCTTATATACTTTGTATGAACTGAGGGAGGGCAGAGGGAGAACTTATGATAATTTATGTCCACCGCGTCTGCAGCTCGTTTATACTCGGTCAGGAAAAAGACGCATTGAAATTATGCAATCAACAAACCGCTGTCGCACGTCTTATTGAAGTATAAACCAAGCTTTAGAGAGTGGGAGGGTATGGAGATGTTTAGGAGGTCAGACAGGTAAGGAGGGGAAAGATTGTGGATAGCTTTGAAGGTATGTAGGAAAATTTTGAAGATGATGCAGGGTTTAACTGGGAGCCAGGGGAGCTGTTGTGGGACTGGAGGGATGTGGGCAGAAGATGAGGTTTGAGTGATTACATGGGCCACTGAGTTCTGAACCATCTGTAGTTTGTGAAGGGATTTATTGGGGAGGCCAAACAGTAGGGAGTTGCAGTAGTCGATCCTGGATGTTACTTGGCTGTGTAAAAGGATGGCAGTGGAGCGGGGAGTGAGTGAAGGACGGAGACAGTTAATGTTGTGAAGATGGAAGTATGCAGATCAAGTCACGTTGTTAATGTGGGATGTGAAAGAAAGTGTGGTATCAAGGATGACACCTAGGTTCTTGACCTGAGGCGAGGGGGAAAGAACAGAGTTGTTAAGAGAGAAGAGAAGATGTTGGGATTTGGAAATGGAGTTTTTTGTCCCAACAAGGAGTTCAGTTTTGTTATGGTTTAGTTGGAGGAAACTGTTGGAGAACCAGTTATTAAGCTTACTGAGGCGTCGGTAAGAGTGGAGGATGTTAAGGTGGAGTTCGGTTTTGCTGAAATGTAAAGCTGAGTGTTGTCGGCAAAAGAGTGGAAATGGACACAAAATTTACAGAAGCAGATAGATTATGAAAAGTAGAGGCCTGAGTACACAACCTTGGGGAACACCGGTGGAAATGGGTGAAGACTGGGAGCGGAAGGACTTGAGCTGTATGAAATGAGTGCGGTCAGAAAGATAGGATTTAAACCAGTCCAGGGGGTGTCTGAGATGACGATAGAGGTTAGTTAGTCAATGAGGATAGGGTGAGAGATGGTGTCAAGGGCAGAGCTCAGATCAAGGAGGATGAAGGACTCAATAACGTAAAAATCCCTGAAATAAATTTTATGACTAATTAACTGAATTTAAGATACAGGCTAGTATTTTACACCGTGTGATCATTGCAGCTACGTGGTTTAAACAGTCAGTGAATCTTGTCAATATGAGGCCATTCTGTCAGTAATATAAACAAAGTTGGGGTATATTACAAGGTCTGACGTAAAAGGTACCACCTCCAGGGGTGTGACCAGGAAGTCAGATGGGTTACTTTAAGAGATGATTCAATTATTCATTATACAGTCTTCCTCTTAGATCAGCCGGGGATAGGCGCTGGCTGCTGAGAGGGTTGTTATTGTTTTGGTTCTGACAAGAACCAAGGCCTTTGACCAACAACTGATCAACAATTAGCATATTGTAGAAACTAACTTAACACAGAAGACATAAAAAAGCTAATGTGATTAGCATTGTGTTTATCAATAAACACCCATTGGGCAGATGTTTCATGGATAATATTTGACTGAAACACTATAAAACTGAAATATAAAAATAATAATTTACCAAACTAAAAGTTGGACATATTTTCACATAAACGACTCATCAGTTTTTATGTCCAGCGATAATTTGTGCCTAGAAAAAAATTGCTAGCTAATAATTTGCATGAATGCTAATTTAACATCATTTACCAGCATCAGGTAAACAAGTGTTCTAAATAGTTAAGTTCAAAATTAAAAGTTTGATTACAAATTCAGTTTAGTGCAATTATTTATAATAAAAGAACATAAAGCCGTAGAGCAAACTTGCTTCCACAGAAAGAAGCTACATGTGAAGCAATCCTACAAGGATAAACAGAGCAGCGACATGCATACTGCAATATCTAACTCAAATTTGTTATTATTTAATTGTATTAATTAAGAAATTAGGCTAAATTTAGCCAATCAGAGCCCTGGTTAGCTCAATAAAAATGAGAAGCACTAAAATCGTCCATGTTTACGTCACAAGTTGATCAAACTTTTCTCTCACCAATCTTGATTATTTATGATGGCAAACATCAAAATAAATAAAAAAGGCCATAATAATCAGTAACATAACAACTCAAAGTCAACCCCCGCTGTCTGCTTGGAATAAATTTGGCTCTTCATCTCACTTTCTTGATCATACTTCTTAAAGCATAAGACTTTTAATATTCAAACACTTCCCGCTGTGTACAAATTCCTTTAAACATCCCCAATCATTCGTAAAATGTTAGAGTCCAATAAGTGTTATGGATGTAACCAGAATCAGAAATATTTTTTTTCTTCTGAATACGATCATCATACTTAAAAGAAAATGAATGGTTGTATATGCTGTGTACTTCTGATGCAGCCCTCAGAGGAGTTGTAATAACTTATAACTTCCCTGGAGTCCAGTGGTGCAAAAAGTTGTTTCTGTGCAGAACTGTGTATAAATGGATACAAAAATACAACTGAATCCATCCCTAACAAAAATAAAAGCCAGGAAGAATTTAAAAACTGATGCACATTTCATTTTCCTCCTACAATTACGAATCAGATTCTTTACTTGATTCATTTCTTATTCAACAGTTGATGTTATGATTTATGATTTATTCCAGACATGTAAAATTCATTACATAAATCTTAGTCTGAATCTATATATCTCAATATACCCTTTCAAAACCACTTAAGACTAATTATACACAAATAAATAAACCCATAAAATAAATATACACCCAATGTGCACACACCTATCTGTGTACACCTACCCTACTATGTTTAGTTTGTTGTTGGAACATGTAAAATATATATTTACCCCAACTCTCAGTACGTAGGCGTATTCTGCCAACAAGGTAGGACTGATGATCCTCCATTTATGTTTGGTCTTCTTAAAGTGTGGGTCGGGAAAGAGGAAGAACATCTTACTGAGCTGAAACGCAAAACTAAATATTAGCAGTCAGTCAAGAGACACAGATACAAAAAAAACTAAATTAGATAATTTTCTCAAAGTTTCTCTACACAAAGAAAACTTTAGAGGAGCAGAACAAAATGCAGCATAAATGTTAAGGGCTTAAAAGGAAAGGAACAAAACGATTGCTAAAAACTAATGGTAGAAAAACACTAGCTAAAATTAACAAAAGTCTAAAACTAAAATGGCCTGAAATGGCAGTTTTAGCTAAAAATGATTCTTAAACTAAAAATTACAAGTTAAATATAGCAAAAAGCTAAAAGTAATAAAAGGCTGTCATAGAGCATAAAGCAGTGAAAGAAAAGCTAAAAATAGCAAAACGGTTGTTAGAAGCTAAAAGTAGGAAAAAAACTGCTAATAACTAAAATGAGTGAAAAGATAAAGAAATGGTTATCGAAAAGTAGAAAATTATAAACTAAAAAAGAAAAGTAGTAGAACTATAGCTAAAGGCTTAAGAAAAGAAAGCAAAACAGAACTGAATGAGATTTTAAAGAAAACAATGTTTTAGATGGAAATAATTTTTTTAAAGTTTACAATATTTGTAAAAAAAAAAGTTGAGACAAGACAAGACAAGACAAGAATTTATTGATACCAGTGTGGGGAAATTTGCACATTACTGCAGCTCAATACAGGAGAGTGAAAGACAGAATAAAGATTGATAAATAAAAGAAAAAACACTATACACGTGATAAATAACAATGTACATGTACCAGTGCAGATACACATAAACACATATGCATATACATGTACACACACACACACACACACACACCCACACACACACACACACACACACACACACATACATACATACATTAACTGTTAGCATTTCAATGTCTTTGGTACAGTGCTGCTCCTTCACAGTAATTATTATAAAATTTTAAAAAAGCAAAATTCTTAAAATAGCACAATCATTGTTGAATTTGATTTCACTCAATAAAGAACACTGGGTGAGCTGATTGGTGTCAGGTTCAACTAGCTTGGTTCTCGTCTTATTTGTCTGGTAGGAGTTTTAGTGTCTCGGTTAACCAGTTCCTCTCTGACTCCTCTGATTTGTTGAGTGGAATGCACCAGGGTTCTGTGTTGGGACCTATTCTGTTTTTGTTATATGTCCTTCCACTGGGTAATATTTTTCAGGAGTTTGATGTTTCTCATCATCTTTGTGTGGATGATATCCAGCTATATTGTTCATTTAATTCCACTGAGATACATAAACTGGACTCTTTAAAGAACTGCCTTGTTAAAGGGGCTATATCATGTAAAATCAAAATTTTTGAGTTTTATATCTTGTTATAATTTTACCCTCTCATCAAAAACATGCCCAGAGTCTTACTTTGACTCATTCATGTATGTTTGAGAAATCCTGTGGTATCCTGAGGCAGCAGGCGGGGGAGCAAAAACGACAGGTTGGGACTAGAACCGCCTTTTGGGACCAGCTTCTCCTCTGGGACGTGTCTTTAAGCCGAGCTTCTTCATCACGGAGCACACCTCCCCACCCCCGACCCCACACACCCTGCCCATGACTCCTGCAGACTCTTGGCAGCAACAAAGCAAACAACTGTTGAAACTGAAAGTGAAACTGTCTGTCTCTTAATACTACTTCTCACTCAGTGAAGCCCCTTTCAGATTCAAAATACCTTTGAAGAAATGTATTTTCAGATGCCAAGTAAACTGCATCATAGTGCACCCCCCACCCCGGCACTGAAATGGGCAGGACAGAAGCGGAAGATGGTTCTTAAAGAGACAGGGGCCAATTTCAAGGCATTTAGAAGAGGAAGTGATGAAAAGACAAGTTTATTTTCTACTTAAACATAAAAACAGCATTTTAATAACAACTAAAGGTGACATAGATACTTTATTATGGTATAGTATTTAAATATATGCCTGAGAAACACATAATATTGCCCCTTTAAAATTAAATATTGGCTTGGCGCTATTTGCAGTTAAACTCTGATAAAGACTGAGGTGCTGGTGACTGCTCCTGATGTTGTTGTTCCAAGAATTTACCAGCATTTGGGTGACCTGAGCTCATCTGCCAAATCAAATCTTAGAAATCTTGATGTGATTTTTGACAGAGGGATGTCACTTGTACACTATTCTAAGCAACTCACTAGAAACTGTTTCTTTCAGCTTGGAAATATTTCCAAACTTAGAAGAGTTGTTTCCAAAGATGATTTAGGGTTGATCATTCATGCTTTTGTGTCTTCACATCTAGACTATTGTAATAGCCTTTTTTCCTGTCTTAAAAAGAAGTTGTCTTGTTTGCAGCTGGTCCAAAATGCAGCGGCTAGGGTGTTGACCCGCACCAAAACAAGGGTTCATATTACCCCGATTCTAAAATCACTCCATCGGCTCCCAGTGGTTTTTCGTTTTAATTTTAAAATCCTGGTACTAACGTTTAAAGATCTCCATGGTCAGGCTCCCTTATACATTAAAGCCCTGTTGTGTCTGTTTTTACCCTCTCGAGTGCTGAGATCAGATCAGAATCTTCTAATGGTCCCCCTCATTTTAAGTCTAGAGGTGATCGCTTCCTCCAGGCTGTTGCTCCAAGGCTCTGGAATGATCTTCCGCTCTCAATACGTGTACTTGATTCTGTGGTTGCTTTTAAGAGCAAAATTAAAACTTTCCTTTTTTATAAAGCCTTTTAACAATCCTAGTGTGTTGTCTGTCTTTTAGCAATTATTTTATGATGTTGTTTATGTTTTGTTTTATTTTTTCTGCACCTTAGTAAAGCACTTTGACCCTCTATGGCTGTGAAAGGTACTATATAAATAAACTTTTACTTACTTACTTACTTACTTAAATAGTAAATGTACCAAATCTGAAAACATTTATAATTTAGATTTTGTTATTGGGTGACAGAACACGACACAACAGAAAATGAAAACCTTATCCTTTAACACCAGTTAACTCACTAGAACCTAATAAAGTGAGAAAAGCAGAAAGAACCTGCAGAGTTTCTGACTGAGCTGTAAATGTGCTCGTCATAATGTTCTGTGGTTGGTTGTTAAACGCTCGGGATTTCAAGCCTGGAATTTCCCTCTGATTTTTTTTCCTCTCGGTTTCTCTTTTTTGACAAGCTTACGTGAGTAGGCTCCACTCACATTAGTCTGACTGATATTTAAAAAAAACACTCCAGTCACTTTTTATTAGTTAAAATAAATAACATCTGGTTCAGACAGAAAGACGTGGGGGATAATCACCGGGAACGGCTGCAGCCTCGGGGGCTCCTTAGCCTGTTGATGGAAGATGGAAAAACCTCAAAACTTTTAAATTATTTTTTAGGTTGCAAAAAAAACCAGACAGGAGTAAAAAATAGCATTTTGAGTCGTTAGAATGTGCTGATTTATGTGCTGATTTATGTGC